TGCACTTTAAGTTTGGACTCTTTGTCAGCCATCTTGTCAAGTTTAGTTAATGTGTTTGTGCATCACTTTTATTTACCTTTTTTATATGTGGATTTATAACTTTAACTTATTTATTGTAAAGGGCATCAAGTTTTCAGATTTTACATGAAGAGTAATTATTTTTTAACAAACTCATTAATAATTCATGAGAAAAACACAATAGAAATCACGACCGTGAAGAGTGTAGTTGTAAATCTGATACAAAACTGTRTTCACTTGCATAAACTTTAAGTTGGATTTTCTTGGCCAAATTCACTTTAATTTTGAAAATTTTAGTGAAACACAAAGGAACTAACCTAGACGTTTGATAAGTCATATACAGTATTCGTGTCCGTGTTGTATCTGATATACAATCACTCGGCTATGCCTCGTGGTTGTATATCTGCTATAACACGTCCACTCATACTGTATATATTACATAAAACTAACGCTGTTAAAACTGATGGCTTTAGTTTCCAGGTTTCAAATAAGGAATGATTATAAAACTAACTTCATACTTGAACTTACACTTTAAATAAAGGATCTCCTAAAATCAACTGCATACTTATGCTAACCTAGAAAAGGAAAAAAAAATTTAATAGCCTTTTCACTCCTGGGCATTTTAAACATTTTTTATTGTTTTTATTTGGGTTTGGATTGACACTGTCATTGCTTCATGCTAATAAGGGTTTACATTGAACAGTGGCATGACTTTCTAGCGCAAAAGGGAAGCATGAAGCCTGTAAAACATTGGTATATAACACATTGGTACGTAAAACATTGGCATGTAAAACATCAAACTTCTGCTGTGTATATATGAATGTCCAGTCTATAGTAGATATTTTGTTATTTGCAGATTAAAAATGTCAAGAAATGCTTAATAAAACAGCAAATAGCTAGGCTGTGCCTGTTGCAAAAGTAGGGATTATTGCTCTATATACAATGAATGTTTCAAGGAACTTACTTCTAATATAGAATTGTCTTGTCTTGATGTTTTGTCATCATATCCTTCAAGTATGTATCTTCTCTTCATAGCACCTGGCCCTGCAAACTCTGCCAAGTTGATGTCAACAAATCCAAGCTATAAATTAAGTAAAAACCTCTTAGATGTAAACAAATAACATACAGTACTGTATGTATAATCAAACTATTTAAATACTTGTCATAGTCATACCCGGGGGGGGTACTACCACCCCAACTTGGGTAGGGGTGTGCCGCCAGGACCTCAAAACCCTGACCCTACCCCAGACCTAAAATTTTGATTTTACATACTCTACCCCAGACTAAAACTAAGAATTGTACACCCTATCCCAGACTAAAAGACAGAAAATACGGTTTTACAAT